TTTAGCACGTAGCCTATTTTAATTGGCAAAACCGGGCTTTAGCACAGCCAATCTTGACTCATAAAGTGTGGGTATACTGTATATGGCAGCGAGTCCAATGATTGAGTTATTCCTCATTTCCCTTATCTATAAACTACTTCATAGCGTAGAAAAATAGCACGTATTGCTAAACACATAAATTTGATGCAATGGTTTATACTAGAAGCGTAATTTTGGAAGCAATTTTTTTAGCTTAAATTTTTGCTTGGCTTCCAGTTCAATTCTGCTTTCATGCCTAATAAATACATAGAATGTTAACAATTGTATAAATTTTATACTAAATTAAAATTTCGTTCGGCATATGAGTGAGTGTATGCCGTTGTGAAAATCACAAAAAATATGAAAAATACGATGAAACATTGCAATTTGAATTCCAAAATCTCCAATAAAACAGATATTTATATTGTCCCAATCATCCATATATAGTTGCAATATGTTTTCTTTTTCTGAATCAATTTGGTTGTCATGTCGTTAGGCGTCGGGGTCTATGGCGTCCACTAACGAATGCAAAAACGAATAGGCTACTATGACAACTGCAAATCTTCGTCACTTCTCAGATTTTACAGCAATATCATGCTCTCTCATTGAGCAGGAAATAAATTCCTCACATCGCCTATTTCCGGTTCCCTTATTTCTCCCTCACTATGTCAGTTTATTTTAAGACTGCACAATTACTAAGCGTAAATTTAGTTTTTTGCGTATGTTATAATATTCAGTGTCACCTGTTCTGTTTTCGCGCGCCAAATTTCGTGCAATTTTTCAGTTTTTTTAAATGTTTAAAATGCTGTTTTGAGACTGTACAATTATAATGGAGAAATTTAATTAGTTTTTCAAGTAAAATGGAAATGTGTATCATTCAAATATACCAACGAGACTGAAAATTGGTCAAAAAGTTTTCGCGCAATAAAATCCAGACATACAGACCAAACATACATATTTCTGAACAAAACGGACTAAACTGACGAACAGACAAAATAGACGGACAATCAAAGAGTCTGACTAGCAGACCAAACTAGGCAAACAGACCACATATATTTGACCAGACGTCGGACTGGTAGACCAGACAGACACAACCGACTAGACAGACAGGCGGACAGATGAAGAATCAGTCAAAGATAAATATAGATCTTGCCAGACAGACCAAACATACAGATTTGAAATATCAGACAAGCAAACATACCGACCGCCCATTTGGCCTGGTATCTTTGTTTGTTTAGTCTGTTCGGTATGTTATGATTGTCTCAATCTTTTGTCAAATCAGCCAGCAAGACAAACCAAACAAACAGACAAGATAGCCAGACCCGAGAGACAGACGGACCAGGGGCAGACTGCCCACAAAAGAAAAGACAAATAAAGTTTCAGACCAGACGCGCAAGACAAACAGGTGAAACAAATATGTCTGAAAGACGAAACAAATTAGACAGAGGACTACGACTGACAAGACACACCACAAATTATTTCCAGATTAGATAGACAAGACAATCGAACCAGATAGATTAAACAGACAGAAAAACGTAGCCTATAGGCTGCCAAACCTGACAGCCGAACCAGATAAACACGCCAGACAAATATAAAACGACTAGAAGTATAGGCAGACATACGGACCAGGACGACACACCTAACCAGGTACAACCGACAGACAGACGAACGGTCAGACCAGAAAATCAGATGAAATGGAAATATCTGAATTACCAACCTCACAGTGAAGACATAAAAACTAGAAAAGCCAGGCAAACGAGTCAGAAAGATCAATATAGCAATATAAGAATAAAAGACAGACCAGACAAATAATACATACCAAACTAACAGACAGACTAAATGATAAGACCAGACCGACAAGACAAACAGTCCAAATCAGACAGCTATAACAAACAAGAGAGCTGTGCACAAATATATGGACACGTCACAAAATGTCGCTATTTTTTATTCTGACACATTAAAAACGAATCTCTTGAAGTCCACAGAAATTTTTGAAATAAGTAAAAGTAATAGCCTTCTAGCAAAAAAATCAATCTTTACCCACTGAAAATTTCAAAGCAATTGGTCCAGTATTCGAAGAGAAAAGCGATTTCATCATGACGAAAGAAAAGAATAATACTAACAAGAACAACAACATTATATTGAAACGATCGTTATGTACACGGACGTGTCCAATTAATACACGACAGACAGTTAGGAAAATACGTACCAGCGAGAAAAACCGACAAAATAGAAAAATGAGACAAATCAAACAGACGACAGATAAATAATAAGGTTAGGACTAGACAGACAAGATAAACAGGCAATAAGATAGGACAGCAATGCAAGACAGATCAGACAGACAAGTAGGAAATACAAGACAGACCGACGACATAGAAAGACAAATAAAAAAAGGTTCAGACAAAACAGATATGCCAGCAAAAGGAGACAAGTCGGACAGATGACTAGAACTGACAAGACACATAAAAATAGCCGCGAACTAAACAGACAGATCTGACACGCAAAACGAACAGACACACGATCAGACCAAATAAACAGCCTACTAGACAAAAAACACATCAAACAACTTGAAAAAATAACAAGAGAGCTATGCTCAAATATATGGACACGTAGAGTCACATAATTTTGATGACGTCATAGCGAAAAAAAAGTAATAGCCTTCTGGAGAAAATTTTTATCTTTAACCACTGAAAATTTCAAAGCAATTGGTCCAGTATTCGAAGAGAAAAGCGACTTTTTAAAAACGTGTCAAAGAACAAGAACAACAACATAATATTGAAACGATCGTTATGTCCACTACGTGTCCAATAATAAACAAAGAATCGGACCCGAAAGACAGACAGAATGGCTAATGAGTTTTAGACAGACTATATATACAAACAGACAAGACGAATACATTAGGCGGACAAACCAGATAGATTGATCAGACAGAGCAACCAGGAAGTCAATAAAAGCAGACCAGGCGCATATAGATTGCACCGACGGACATTAGCACGCATACACGTTTGCACGCATGTAAATTTTCACCCACGGAAATTTGCACCCTGGACATTTTTATCCACGGAATGTACGCAGGTGCAAATGTTCATGAGTGTAAATGTACGCGGGTTAAATTGTACGTTGGTGCAAATGTATGTGGGTGCAAATGTACATAGGTGCAATTGTTCATGGGTGCAAATGTCTGTGGGAGCAAAAGGATGCAGATGCAATTGTTCTGGGAGCAAAAGGAAGTGGATGTAAAGATAATGGAACTCAAAGATTATGTTGCCTTCTCTTATAGCATAATTGTGGTAATCAAAAATTAGTCAAAAAGTAGCTGTGATAGACAAGGCTAAACTTTTTTACCGGTACTTTCAAATAACAGCGTTGAATATTTTGAATGAAAATGATTGATTGAAACATATAAACCAGTTTAAGGCGCTCACTCGTAAAGCCACTCTTAAACTGACCACCAAAAATGTTGCAATTGTAAAATAGGAAGAATTTTTCTGCGTTCAATGGTCGGGGAAACATCCATCGTTGACTCGCAGTCAGTCACACAAGACCAAATACATAATGTCAGCTTCTAATTAAATGAAAAACAAGAGAGCTATCCTCAAATATATGGACACGTAGCGCCACCCAGTGGCAATAATTTTGATGACGTCATAGCGAGAAAAAAAGTAATAGTCTTCTGGAGAAAATTTTTATCTTTAACCACTGAAAATATCAAAGCAATTGGTCCAATGGAGACGGAGACAAATAACAATAACAACAACATTTTGAAACGATCGTTATGGCCGCTAAACGTGTCCAAAAACATGTGTGATAACGCCAACTCTACAGCTTGATTCTGATGCCCTCTACAACGTGCTGCCCGGGGTGCCCCCCCCCCCCCTCTCTAGGCACCCCACTGGTCGTCTGGATCACGGCCTTTCGTCCAACTACCAGTTCATGTCGAGTATGGGATTAGTTAGCCAGATATTCGTTTCGAAAGTATGGACTTGCTGGTCGAGGAAGATGTATCCCACCAGCGGTGCACCCCAAGGATAAAAGAAGTCCAGCAATCCTCTCACAAACAATTACCCCTCACTGATTTAAACCTGCAAACCCCGCAGGGTAATCAGAGGTGTGATGAAAAGAGTTTTATTCACCCTTAGCACGATGGGTCAGCCGCCGTGCTCTCAAAATATTCAACCTTTGATTGATAGAATTATTTATTTTTTTAAATATAATGCAAGAAATACTGAAAACAGAAATATTTTAAGAGCGATGAACAAATAACAAAGAAAAAGTTTTATTGAAAATGTAATGAAATTATAATGATACATTACGTGAAAAAACTGAAACTATTGGGAAACATTGAATATGATTTATGTATTATCTCGGAGGAGAGGAAAGTCAATAATACGGCTTAATCCTATTGCGAACCACGGTTCCTCGTCCGGATACCTGTTAGTCAGGTATGTGTTTCAGATGCATGGACTTGATGGTGGTGGAAGCCATGATCGACAGCCAACCAAAATGGAGTCCAGCAATCCTTTCGCATATAACTACGAGTATTCCCGCAAAAGATTCAGAACAAGAGAGCTACGCACAAATATATGGACACGTTAGACCAGAGCGAATCAGTCCTTACCGGTACCTTTGACGCTACCGGTACCCTCAAAAAAGTTCTGAATTTCCAGTAGCAAGAATTTTGCAGAATCAAAACGTACAGCCAGTCATGACACTGACTAAAATCCGTGTTCCCATGGATAAAAAATAATACAGCAAAATATTAGACGAAATATCAAATTTCATAGAATTCACGCAAAATTTTGAAATAAATAAAAGTAATAGCCTTCTAGCGAAAAAATTAATCTTTAACCACTGAAATTTTTAAAGCAATTGGTCCAGTATTCGAAGAGAAAAGCGACTTTTTAAAAACGTGTCAAAGAACAAGAACAACAACAACAACATAATATTGAAACGATCGTTATGTCCACTTCGTGTCCAATTAATCAGAGGTGCATGGCGAGCGTATTCCTAACGCTTAGCACGATGCGCCACTCTGAGGAGCCATGAATCAAGGTCACAGATTAAAAAGCTGACCGCCTCTAGTCTGCTAAGTAAAGCCACGTCAAGATTTCAAAAATTCTCTAATGGCCAACATACACGGCTTTCTCATTCCTAAGCTATCACTGGTAGAATAAATGTTATGTAAGAATCATTGTTTTACATTGCTATATTATTTGCCCATAAAAGCATTTTAGCATATCTTGGATTGCGAGATTTTACAAAAGTTTGGTCACTCAAAAATAGTGGAAAATGGAATAATACAAACATTGATATAGAAGAATAGGTCATTTGGAAAAAAAAAATTTCCGAGTCCGGTCTCGTAATAAACAACTTAACCTGAGTTAGACTCCGTTCACATCTATGACTATTTATTATCTTTCTAGCAATGAACAGAAGCCGCATTTATGCAATTTTTCCAATTCCATCCACCGTGGGGGCATAGTCCAATATTAGATTCCTGGCCAGTGCAGAGAAGACGATTCAGCCAGAATTTTGCAGTTGATCCCACGCGGTAATTATTCCCAGTGCGACCACCCGCATCCGTGTACCCAAGCATTCTGCAAACCACCTGAATGTAAAATATCATTTTTATTTACTATAAATATATATCGTAACAAGACTCAGGGCATGCAGACACCGACACACGGCCTTGCAGTTGCCTTGCTGAAACCCCAAAAGTCTAAATTATACTAATTACAACTAAAGTTTGGTTTAGGATCAGAATTTACATATTTATACCGGGGGAAATGAAAGCCCACAAGGCGGCCCAATCATATAACGAACCACGGCCTCTCGTCCATTTATCAATCCATGTCGGGTATGGGATTAGTTAGGCAGTTATTTGTTTTCAAATACTTGGACTTGATAGTGGAGGAAGTAGCAAACGACTAGCGACGGAAAGGAAGCCATCAATCATATCGAACATGGCTATCTCCGCATGGGATTCGAACCTGCGGACCCATAAGGGTGATCCGGAGTGAGATAGCGAGCCAATTGGAGGCCCGAACACTAGTAAATATACAATTTTTGTTAAAATGATACCCTGGCGTCCTCATTTGAAAAGTCATCGGTGCAAATATTTCCCCAAATTCCTTGATGTAAGATTTCAACTCTTCCTTGAACGGTAGATGTCGCCCCTGTATCAGTAATCAATCTCACCGAAGCGACTGGGATTGCTGAAATATATTTTATGATGAGAGCGTATGTGTTTGCTCAGAACGAGGCTCTGTACAATCAACTATGTAGACATAGGAGGCTACTGATTATTTTAGGAGTTTCGACTAGGGCTGGGCATTTTCGAATACCTTGTGATTTCAGAATCGAATCGAACAATTTTTTCGAATCGAATCTCGAATACTTGAAAATATATAATTGTAACCGACTTTATTATAGTATAATTGGTCCTCTCAACAAATGAATTACTGAAGACATAGAATTAATCACTCAGATAGATTACTGAGCGTTCACACAGAATAACAAACACGTTTTATCAATAACTCACTACAGAAAATAGTCATATGTTAGAATTTCGTTGTAAAAATATGACTCCGATGAAAAAAAAATGGGGAATTCACCTCGACCATTAACGGAAAGATAAAAACAAGATGGCGGCGATTTGAAATTTAGCTCTGAACCGATTCGAATAATTTACTATTCGATTCGAAATGCGCAGCCCTAGTTTCGACATTTGAACTTGTGGGTAGCCCGAGGGCCACAACCGGCCCGTTATGTCATTTGGTGTGGCCCTTGTCACCACTTAGATTTTACCCAGCTAAACAAGAATCCGAAATTTCAAATGTCCCTATAAATCTAAAATGTTGATTTTAATTAAAATTTTGCATTGTGAGAATATTTGATCGCCAAGTGATTTAGTTATCAACTCTCATATTCCACCCATTAAGCATAAGATCCTGATCTGTCAGTTTATATCAACAAAATATGCAAAAACTCGAAACTTCAAGTGTCCCGCTAAAATGTCAATTCGATTAAAATTTTGCATCGTGGAAATATTTTAATTTGTTGTGTATATGGAAAGACTTTTCTGATCCCATGTATTCTTTCGAAATCGAAAGATTTATGTTTTGCACTAGTTTTAATGATTGTGTTTCGGATTAAAAGTCTGAAAAAAGCACAACCGATATATACTTAGTGTGAGATTGGTGCATTCTTTGCGACTCCTAAATTTCGTTGACCTTCCTCCTCCCCCCCCCCCCCCCCCCCCAGTTTAAGCCCCCAGTTTCAGAAGCCTTGACCACAAGACAAGATAAATATCCTTTAAAACGCTGAAAAAGAAAGATTTCGTTTCTTTTAAAAGAAAACTTTAGTTGAAAAATTCGCACAAGTTCATTGGTTCGCGCAAGCAGTTTTGTCGCAAATGTACTACTAGGATAAAGAGTGGATCTTCCTATCTCCAACTAAAAAAATAATGTTTACCTGCTTTATTGAGATTTGCCTTCATCGCGAGAATTTCGCTGTTTTGGCGTTTGTATGTTTCCTCCAGAGATGAGATATCTAGAATATAATTAGTACAAATTAATTTTCAATAAAAATTCTAATGAACGTTCTGGACTTTGGTACACACTAGTGTCACTTGGTGCCCCACTAGTCTGGCTGGGTATATTGGAATACCTGATGATTTCAGAATCGAATCGAATTTTTTTCGAATTGAATCTCAAATACTTGGAAGATTTGTAAATGTAAGCAACTTTTTTAACTGTAATGGGTCCTTTATACACATAAATTACTGAAAACACTGAATCCATCACTCAGACAGTTAACGGAGTGTTCACACATAATAGGAAACATGTTTTATCAAAAACTCGTTAAAAAAGTCATATATCACAATTGCATTTTAAAAATATGGCTCAAATAATTAAAAAAACCGAGCGATGCACCTCGACATTCGGCGGAAAGAAAGATGACATTGATACGAAATTATCATTTGGAACGATTCGAAAAATATTATTCGATCGTGTTGAGACTAGGACTGGACATTTCGAATAGTAACTAATTAAATATTTGAACTGTCAGGCTAAAATTTCCAATTGCCGCCATTTTGTATCTAATTTGTCAACCGAAAGGGCAAGGTTTAGACACCACCATATCGGTATTTTAGAATCAAACTTTAAAAAAAAAAGGAAAATGTTCTTGATTTTAGCAGTTATTCGACCGGGAAATAATATATATATCTCTACAAGTTATTATTTTTGCACGGTATATATGTATAGATAACGGTAGACCGTAAAATTGATATAAAACAAGTAACCAACGGTTACCAACTTTTTTTATTTTCACTGGATGAGTTTTGTAGGTCTCCTATATTTCGTCCTTGTCTTGACATCTCGCCTGCTACATTGAGCATTTGCTTCTGAAGCAAAGCTATCTCTGTAAAGAAGAATAAGAAATTCGCTGGTTTGAAAGTTTTGATGAAAAAGTACGGTGCTCCCGAAGTATGCGAACCAAGATGGCGGACATCGGAACGTAACATGGGTAACAGGTTAGGGTTAGGCGATAATTTTTTTTCAATTTTCCTTATTTGAGTCATATTATCAGTTTGAAGACTAGCCAAGAGCCTCCCGTAGTATTAATACCTAAAATTATGGCCTAACCCTAACCTAGTACACATATTACATTCCGATGTCCGCCATCTTGGTTCGCATACTTTAGGAGTAACGAATAATTTGCTATTCGATTCGAAATGCCAAAGCCTAATCACGAGCTTAGTGCAATGAAGCCCCGAAAGGGATTTTTGTTATGAATTACAAAAAATAAAAATTACGCCCTCGCAGGTTCACTTCACTCTTGTTCAATCGTCGTTCCGTTTCTGTTAAAATGAAACAAGATAAACGAAAAAATGAGGCCAATGCCATGCTGTTAGGCGCTATATGTAATGACAGTGATTTCCCCTGTAGGTTATGAATAATCCCATAAACTTCCAACAGCCCACATCACAAATACTCTTATTAAAAGTTACAAATAGTTTTATCGCTGGTAGCAAAATATTTAACACCCCCTAATTTTTAGAACAACCCCCATTTCCTTATTTTAGTTTCTATTACGAGTTCGGGAACTGTCTGTGTTAGCCAAGTGAATATCCCCCTGCCCATAGGTTCCAGTCCCTTTACACAACTTGATGTAAAATAGGCAAACAATTAGTTACCTCCATATTGATACACACACTTCTGGAGCGCTGTTTAGGTTAGGGTTAGGCCATAATTTTATTCCGATTTTCCTTATTTTAGTTTCTATTACGAGTTCGGGGACAGCCTATGTTAGCCAAGTGAATATCCCCCTGCCCATAGATTCCAGTCTCGTTACACAACTTGATGTAAAGTAGGCGAATAAAATTAGTTATCTCCTTATTGGTACAATTACGTCAAACATGGTACCTGTTAAATCTTGTCTCAACTTTTCTTTTTCTTGTAACAAGACAAGAAATGTAATGGCGGTGAATACCAGCCCGATAACTATTGCAACATAGATGATCCAAACAGCATTATTGTTCTGATCCTGGGACTTGCTTGGTCCTTCTTCACCCGAGAGTTGACAAAGATTCTTCACTGAAAAAACAAGAGAACAATGCTCAAATAAATGGGCACGAAACCAAGGTAAAGTATAGAAGGGTATGTAATCAGTCACAGTAGACTACCAATACTAGGGTGACCATATTTTTAGACTCTAAAAGGAGGACACATCGTTTGGTAGAACCATATTTCACATGTGCATGAGATATACATTATATATCTGCTAGTTTCTCTAGGATTAAATGTAGAGGTGACAATGGACGAACTGACGACAATGAAATATCAACGCATTTTTGCATTTATTAGAAAAACAGGGGCTCCCGAAGTATGCGAACCAAGATGGCGGACATCGGAATGTAACATGTGTACTAGGTTAGGGTTGGGCCATAATTTTAGGTATGAATACTACGGGAGGCTCTTGGCTAGTCTTCAAACTGATAATAGGACTAAAATAAGGAAAATTGGAAAAAAATTATCGCCTAACCCTAACCTGTTACCCATGTTACGTTCCGATGTCCGCCATCTTGGTTCGCATACTTCGGGAGCACCGAAAAACATCTACATAACAATCAATTAATTAGTCGTTAAAATTGTAAACTAAGTGAGTATACTAGCAACAGACCTAAATAGAAAATAGACTCAAAAGCATGTTTACTTTTGCTTTAGTTCCTAAAAATAGGGTTTTTATATTCGGCATAATCAACTGAGCAATGAGCATACTGACGTAATTTTCTGCCAAAATCGAAACTTTACTTTAAATTGCGAAATACAAGGTGAAATGATTTAAAACATATTTGTAGAACGAAACGATTTTTACGTCATAAACGAGTAAGCATAACAAGTATGCATTTAATTAGACTCGGAACCCCGTGTGTATGCTGTCACTACGCAATGCATTGCTTGTCATATGTATAATGATGTTTACAAGTCTCTACTGACTTTAAAATTTTCTCAACACCTTCAAAACTGTTGATTGAATCCTAGCAAAATTTTAAATATTTAATCCCGTGAAAAAGAGGACATTTTGAAATTTTAGAGCGTCCTCGGAGGACGTAAATTTGTAACGAAAAAGGTGGACAAATCCTCCATGAAGAGGACGTATGGTCACCCTAACCCGAACGGCAATTTTTGCGACCAACGCGGATACGAAACCTCCACTTGTATGTATGTTTTGATGATGTCATTACACCAAAAACGATTTCCATAGAAGCCACAGAAATTTTTGAAGAATAAAAGTAATAGCCTAGCAAAAAAATACAATGTATAACCACTGAAGAAATTCGTTCAGTAGATAATGAGAAAAGTGATTTTTTTCACGACAATAGGAGAAAAAATACCAACAAGAACAACAACGACATAATAATATTAGCAAAATGATCCATAGGTCTCAAAGAAAAAGGAATTAAAGTCGTTTTTCAATCCGGTTTTGAAGGTCGGAGAAGAGTCCGGTTTATGTCCAAACATTTAAAAAGGCTTACATAAGCCCAACTTTCATAATCAAAATTCAACTTTTCCGGAGTATGAGTCATTTTTAAGTCTGGATAATAAATCCGGAATGGGCATCCGGATATTTGTTGACCCACCTTTTTTCTTTGTGTCGTCTTTCTTGGGCCCTGGAATATTCTCATACTGATTCACCGGCTTTTGTACATTTTCTTTTGACTCCGATTTTTTGAACACAACAGTCGGATAAGCGTAATGATGGCTGTCTTCAGAGTTGTCATTCTCTTTATCCATAACGTGGTGCTAACCTATGTTTAGCGAATAATTTTAAAGTCTTCCTGTAAGTACCGTATTTTACAGATCATGAGGCGAAAATCTGCGTTTCTACGACGTCCAATATTTTACTGGTCACGAAAATTTGAGTGTTCGAAGACGTCTGAAATCAGATAGAAAATTCGCGTTTCGATGGCATCCGATTTCGCGCTGACAAAAATAATCTTCGTTTGGCGGACATCCAATATTTTACACTTACAGGATACAAAAATTTGAGGGTTCGAAGACGTCCGAAATCTGATATAAAAATTCGCGTTCCAAAAACGTCCAATACTTTACTGCAGTGGTCGTGAACCCCTGTCTGGCGAGCCATATATCGCTCTTTTAGTGACGGCTCTCAGAAAAATCTGATTTTCCAAGACTAAGCTTACTATTGTCATCCGATTTTAAGCTAAATAGTTATAGCTAAATTTGACAGAACATTTCCTAATACGTTTGCGAACAAGCGCTCAGCGCCTATTTATGTTATGTCCGAGAAGTGCCAGACAGACATTGTGACAAAACTTAGGGATTCTAGAACATATTTTGTGACATCATGAAGCGATAAAGTTGCGGAGCAATGAAGAAAAGCCTTCTGTCCGTTTGTACTGTTTATTTTTAATATAATTTAAAGCACTGCGGAGATGACTAAAAAAGGCGATGAGTATTGTGGATTTCAACATGTGTTGCACGTGAGCAATCGTTTAAGGCTCGTGGCGACAACATACAAAGTACTGCGGAGATGACTAAAAAAGGCGATGAGTATTGTGGATTTCAACATATGTTGCACGTGAGCAATCGTTTAAGGCTCGTAGCGACAACATACAAGCATCAGAAGTCACATTAAATGTATATTATTAAGACATTATATGTGTTGACTTTTGAGTAAAAATTTAGGACACGATTAAGAAAAGAAACACGCTGTATGACTCGCGCGGAAATGCGATTGAAAATATGTACGTTTCGACAGCGTCTGATATTGCTCTGGCAACGAAAATCTTCGTTTCGAGGGCGTCCGGTACTTTAAAGGTATCGACTCCACTCAGTATTCCTTAATCTGCACTCCCGTAGTGTGTGTACCAGAACCAGGTTAGGTCATAATTTTATTCCGATTTTCCTTATTTTAGTTCTATCACAAGTTCAGGGACTGTTTGTGTTAGCCAAGTGAATATCCCCCTCCCATAGGTTTCAGTCCCTTTACACAACTTGATGTAAAATAGGCGAACAAAATTAGTTGCCTCCATATTGGTACATACACTTCTGGAGCGCTGTCGACTCTACTCAGAGTATTCCTTAATCTGCCCTGTAAGCTTAAACACTGCTTATTTTTATAAGAACTAAAATGCGAGGCGGTTTTTGTTTTCACTACGTCATCCTATGACTGGTGTGTACATACGTACATTGGCGAACATTAATAAGCAATTGAACGCCTTCGCCTTGAATCATTTTTTATGTCAAATTATTTCGAAGAAATCCAGTTAGGTGGGATTCATCAGTTTCCTGGTCGTCTTGACTTGAATCGCTCAAGTCTTACATGAATCTTACATCAGTTTTGGTAGCTGACATCACAAAAACAACACTCACATTCATACAGATTTACATCACTGAATTATGCGGCATTGTTGTGAAAGCGCGCCGCTTCTCTGATCCTATGTATTTTCTCGAAATTGTGAGATTCAAGATTTACACTAAATTCGATAATATTATTTCGAATCAAACGTCTGAAAAAGTACATTAGGTATAGTACTTTGTTCGAAATTAGTGTACTTTTTGCGACTCCTAAAATTCATTGCGCTGATCATTCAGACGTGAGGTCGTGGTTTGTGTTTAAATCAATCCGTCTTATCGGCTTTCTTCTCCTTGAAAAAATTTGTAAATCATATCGTAACTATTTCCATACCTGACATATGTGAGTTACAGTGATTACCCTATACCCCCTATAGACGAGTGAACACCCCTCCTAAAATTTATTTTGCTTGCTCATCGCACCCTCTATCTACCTTCGGAAATACGCTTTGCAATAGAATAAAAGAATTCTAAAACATTGTTGTTGTTGACTATAATTATATTTGTAAATATATTTGTATATTTATATTATGTTTGTATTATATTTGTTGTAAAAGTCAAGCGACTCCCATAGTATTTGTATTTAAAATTATGACTTAACCCTAAACTGGTACACATACCTACTACGTTACGGTGTCCGTCATTTCGGTTCACATACTACGGGTGTACCCAAAGAACGTATTATCGGCTTACCTCTCTTGGGGTATGAATAGAACATAATTTTATTAATCATTGTATAGGTGGGCAATTTACGCATATCATATCTACAGGTGAATAAAGTATATGGATGCGTCCTGGAACTCGTCTTTTTGTTTTAGTAGGTGTAAATTTCAAGTGGTTATGACGTAATAGTTGGCTGTTCGAGCGTTTGACTAATCATAAAAATACACCAATGGAATCATTTTGACAACGCTAAACGCACCAGAAAAATATACTAACGCAGTGGCAGTAACGCAGATTGTTTTTATCCATTTATTTTCCTATGCCGAATACATAACACATTTTTATACGTTCAAAATAGTATTATCACTAATAACAAAATATCTACCATCTCCTTGAATTTGGGAACACCCTCACTAAAACAAACAGCAGGGGAAGATACTGTTTCTATCACAGCACGTTGTTCAACACTTTTCATTGAAACCACATGGGCAGCTAGGTCATCTTCAAAATCACCAAACTATTTTTCACGGCAGAAGCGCCTTGGCTTCGGGTAACCCAGTTGAAAAGGTGGAATACCCCGTTCGTCTGTATTTTGATAACTCTACAAAATAAATATATACCTTATATAAATAAATAGATATATTATTCGAAATAATAAGCCTTACGCCAAAACTGAATTTAATCGCAATCTCAACAAATTCATTGAGCTATTTTTAGCAACAGAATCAAAATTTGGGTTTAGTTTGGTTGTGGCAGCATCAGGCGGGCCAGATTGAATTACCTAACGGGCCGTACCTGGCCCGTGTAACTAATGTCAGCACTATAATAACGTAACGACTTTAATAAAAACTAGTGGAAAATGACCAAAGCTTATTTAAATCATTTTCAAGAATAGAGAAATTCTTTTTTTGGTGCTCCCGAAGTATGCGAACCAAGATGGCGGACATCGGAACGTGACATGGGTAACAGGTTAGGGTTAGGCGATAATTTCTTTCCAATTTTCCTTATTTTAGTCCTATTATCAGTTCGAAGACTGGCCAAGAGCCTCCCGTAGTATTTATACCTAAAATTATGGCCTAACCCTAACCTAGTACACATATTACATCCCGATGTCCGCCATCTTGGTTCGCATACTTCGGGAGCCCCCTTTTTTTTCAGTTCTGTACCGGAACCGATCCTAGGTAACAAGGATGTAGCCAGAAATTTTCAAACAGGGGGGAGAGGGGGTAATGTGTTCTGAAATT